TAAAGGTTAAGAACTTTTGATGCTATGGATGATGGAAATAATGGAGCTTGTATCTTTTTTAAACATGTGGTATCAAAAAGTGTTGAATAGTTCAACAATTTTACTTAGATTTTTCAGACATGCAAACATCTGGTAGGTCATAAAGGGAGCAGGGGACCAAACTTCCCTCTCAGTGTTTTTCTGTTGCTAACAAAAAACATAATTTAAAGTCAATTCTGACTTTAGTCAAGGTTAGTATGTCAAGCAGTGACCAAACCTTTCAGTTTTATGCCCATTCATACACCAAATGCAGGTTTCAACAGTCCCTCTATCAGAATCGGCCAGCAGATGTGACCTTCATTTACTCAGTTTGTTCCCTCTTTGTGGTGCAGAGTGAAGCCAGTGTGTGTTTGGGGAATATAAAACTTCTGTTGGCAGGACTGTTGGGATATAGGACCTGTCTCTAAAAAACACTGAGATGAGACTTAATGTATGTGTTGTCACTCTATAAAGAAAAGACGATGCATCATGCGGTCCTCTGCAGCAGAATCACAACACACAGCTCGGCCACAGGAGAGCAACTCAACTGGGTCACAGAGAGGGTGTGAGGCAGATCTGAGAACAGCTACATGCTGACAGGGTGTGTGAGGATAGAGAGTCTAAGCAGGAAGATCACTGTAAGTCTCAACCTCCAGAACCCCCCCCCCACCTGTGGTTATTATACTCTTAACAAAGAGGAGTTGTCTCTGTTACAGAAACAGACGCAACACCTAAGTTAGAACGGTTTGTCTGGGTTGGTGTGAAAGCTGTCAATTGAACCCTGAACAACTTGAACAACTTTATTGAGACCGCTTGAAAAGGTGGGTCTCATGCGGTTAGTTTGTATCAAGAATATTAACCGACCTTGATATGACCTACCTGCAGGAAGCAAATACCATGCACCTTCTCTATTAATCATTGTGTTAAAGAGCACAGGCATACCTGACAGGAAAAACAATTTTGATGATTGAGCAGTTCATGGTTCAGGATCATTAACGTGCATCTTCTCCTGAACTGTCTGTTGATAAGCGCCCTCGGCAACTCCAGTACATCATCATAACATTTCTGAGCTGCAGTTGTGCCTTATTTTTCAAACTGTATTGTTTGCTAACAGTGGTAAATGCAAACAATATAAAACATTATTACCAGAGCCAACCATCAAGTCTTCTGTCCATTTTGAAAATGAAAAGTGGCTTTGGAGCTGCCACAGACAGGCCACAAGAAATTCCCAACAATTAGAGATCATTGTCCCCGCGCATCACACATGTTGGTCTGCTACAAATGTCCCAGTACAGACCAAACTAGAGGTCAATATAATGCAACAATGTTATTATTAGGTCTATGATTCTGACAAGAGCAAACAAACTACAGGTGTGAAAACACCCTTAGAGATTAAAAAATATGTTACTGTTTTTTTTTTAAATTTATTTTTGTGCTTCTTGTGCCTTTAATGGAAAGACAGGACAGTGGATAGAGCCGGAAATCAGGGAGAGAGATTGGGGGACGACATGCGGGAAAAGAGACACAGGTCGGATTAGATTGGAGGACCACAGCCTTCATAAAAAAAAAAATATGTTACTGTTATGTTGCCGATAGAGTACAGAATTATTACTGGGTGAGAAAATATGTCTTTGTCTTTTTTTGTTGACAAATGTATTTTCAGAGAAATTCTGTTTTTTAACATGCAGCTGTTTTGTTCAGTGTACATGTTTTTTTAATCACGGGGTCAGTTAGTTTTAAAGAGAAGTAGACTTCTGAGGATACTTCAGCTTCTGTTAAAACAGTCAGGAAAGATGCCCGGAAAAGGATCCTGACATGAAAACAAGCAGAGTGTCTAAAAACAAGCTAAGGTAGTGTAAGCAGCAGCTCAGCGTGCAGCCCCTCTGACGTGCTGTGTCTTTCATGTAAGTATCAGAGAGGAGAGACCTCTCAGGATAGTTTGACTTTGTTTAAAAGTTGAGGAACTCTGGGTAAAATAATTCAAACCTTAAATCAAACTAAGTATCACAAATATCTGATCCAGCATTTTATCAATGTGATGTTTGATTATTTGGCATTTAAATGCAGTTTGGATGTTGACATTAAAGTTGTTAATCTACCTAAACTGAATGGGTGTGGCATGTTGTGCAAAGAAGAGAAGCGTTTATCATGAACTGAGAGCAGTCTCGCTCTAAAACCAGCTGTTCCATTGTTAAAGAAAATTCGTACATTTTTTGCAGGTTACACATAACTGACTGCCATCGTCTCTAAAGCAACAGGCACTAAGGATTATGGGTAATGATGCTCTCAATCAATCAGTACTGACAGGGAAACCTTTTATTTTGAGGATTGGAGGAGAAAAACTGAACACTTATGCTTCTAACAAAATAAGCCCAGGCGAAGGGGGAACTATCATCATAAATATCATTAAATTAAAATACACAGAGAGGAGAAACATTCAGCAGCTCATTACAAATATGTTAATTAAACCATGAAGTTTGTACTGTTATGTAGTGACCTCTGGTAATAGAGCTGAGAGACCCCAACATTAACATAAATTGACCAAATAATGCTCCCTGGCTCCAGCAGCAGGATTTGTAGTCAGCTCAATAAACAGTTAAACTTGTTTGACTGAGTAAATGAACAGTGAATTTCTGGAGCATCAAACATGTAACGCACGTAGACTGTAAAGCCTGAGTGATGTCACCCATCTGTTACTGTAGGGGGCTTTGGAGTCCCATCGATGGCTGTCTCCCTGCTGTTAATGCTGTCTCATCCTAACTTTCAGTCAACCTAACAACAGGTTGAGAGCCGGAGCTGAGGCGGGATTTGCCTCTTGACAAACCGTTACACCGCGCCCACCTGTCAATAAGGTCATCTTCATCGCTTAATGTGAATAACACTTATCCTTCATAAAATCTAAATAGATGAGTTATCAAAAAATTCACCCCCCGTACAGTGTGTTCCAGCGGTGGAGTCAGAATTAATCAGATCAATTTTGATTTTAAAACCAGGACGTAAACATGTTCCTTTCTGCTTTAAAAAACGTATTTTTTTGGGGGTGCTGGTTGCGCAGTGGTTTGTGCATGTTCATAGGCTAATGTACTCCAAGTGGACAGCCCAGGTTCAAATCCGACCTGCAGGCTCCCTTCCCGCATGTCATTCCCCACTCTTTTCTATCTCTCCAATAAAGGCACAAAAAGCACATGAAAAACATGAATGGGTGTGTATGAGATTTCTAGTGCTTTCTAGCGTCTCAAGCAGGCACTTGACAAACTGCAAGTTTTTTTTTTACTTCCACATCATTTTTCAACACTGGAGGATGCCGCTTGAGTCCAAACACACAATTCCAAACATTGCATATTTATTTGTGCAATTTATACAGTAAATTTGCACTTTTGATATAAAAACAACACAAGAATTGACACTATATTGGTTGTCTATGACTTTTTTGTTGGTATCATAAAAGGTATCAATATTGTGTGATTTTTCCATGATCAAATCAATGTTTTAAATTTTGTTTAAAATGAAAACATTAATTTAGGATTACACTTAAAAAACTATTTTGTTGTTAGGCCTCCTTTGGGGCTTCTTGGTGGTCGGCCCACCTTCACCCCCAAATAGTATACGGCCATGGTGGACAGTCAGACCTTCGTTAACCTCATCATCATTATCACAGAGGAACAAACAGAAGCAGCTCTTCAGATGTTTTAATAAGAAAATCCAGATGAGATATGCTGCATGAACAGGCATCCCTCTGTGAGCTCACTGCTCTGACAGAAACACAGAGGAGTCTGACAGCACACGGTAAACTGTCCCATTCATCTGCTGCACCACCTGCCCCACCTTAAGCACCTGCACACCCTACACTCATTCCCAAATGTAGTATTCACAGGGTTGGCTTTTAATTCAGCTGCAAGCTCATACTGAAAGGACGAGGGGGAAAAATCCACAAACCAGACGCTGACAACATGGAATAATAACAGAAATGAAATGAAATACCAATATGAGCTGCACTGAACAGTCATACAGATGATAATCCTGTTTGTTATCCCTAATTATACTAAGTAGAGAACTTGTATGAGCCACTGATTATATTCAAGCCATCTGATCGTGCACTATCATATAAATGTTCAGAGATCTGACAAAATGAAACTCTGACATTCAGGACACAAAAAGGGATCCAGCTACAAGCTACACAGAACTGACGGATGGATGGATGCAGGGATGATGGATAATGAGGATGGATTTAGGCATGATGGATGTATGAGGATGGATGCAGGGATGATGGATGGATGAGGATGGATGCAGGGATGATGGATGATATTTGGATGATTGATGGATGATCATGGATGATTGATGTATGAGGATGGATGTAGGGATGATGGATAATGAGGATGGATGTAGGGATGATGGATGGATGAGGATGGATGTAGGGATGATGGATGTATGAGGATGGATGTAGGGATGATGGATGGATGAGGATGGATGTAGGGATGATGGATGTATGAGGATGGATGTAGGGATGATGGATGTATGAGGATGGATGTAGGGATGATGGATGTATGAGGATGGATGTAGGGATGATGGATGGGTGTATGATGAGTGGATGATGTATGATCTGAAGTAGAGACAGCAATGATTGAGGAGGAAACATTGATTCATAAATCAGAGAATAAATGAATGAAGTTATTTTTAACCATCTTCGCACACGTGCAGCAGCATTCATTCACACAGTCTGGCTCGTTCACGTGCACACATTCACATTTGTTTCAGACAGCACGTGAGCGTGTTTATGATCAGACGGACACGCCCCCTCTGTGACGTATGATCGATCATATCAATAACAGATCAGCTACATCGCACAAATCATCATGTATGATCAACTCTGTTTGTACACACACACACACACACACACATACGCACACGCACGCACACACACACACACACACACACACACACACACACACACACACACACACACACACACACACACACACTACCTGCGTTCCGTAGTTTCTTGTTCTTGAGCACGGACATGATGACCAGCAGGTTTCCCAGCACGTCCACCACCGTGGTGAAGATCAGCACGCTGGCCAGCGCCGTCACTGCCCAGGTAGGGCGCGCTGCTCCCGGGCTCGGCTCCGGCCCATGCCCGGTCCAGTTCTCCAGCACAGCCTCCTCCGCCGGCGGGTCCATCCCACCCGGTGTTCCCTGTTCACACCCCGCGGTGTGTGTGAGGGCTTCCCCGCATGCTGTCACGGCCCTGTCACGGATCTCTATGTGGTTCAGCCTCCTCTGCTCTCTTGTGTCCTGAGTCCGGAGCCGCTCTGCTCCGCTCCGCTGCTGGTCCCCACGGAGCGGCCCGCGGGTCGACCCATACACCGTCAGGAGCCTGATGTTGGACCTCCTCCTCCTCCCGCTCCTCCTAGTCCTCCTCCTGCTCTGCCTCTCCAGAGCTCCTGCTCCTCATCGCTCCTTTTTCTGCCTCACACACACACACACACACACACACACACACACACACACACACACACACACACACTACCTCTCCTTCCCCCTCCTCTGTTGTCTCTGGGACTGGATGAAACTCTGAGAGCCTGCGCTGCATCCTAATGTGTCTCTACGCTATCTGAGATGTGATGTCTCTTCACTAGAAGGATTTTTTTTCAATGCGCTGATACTATTTTAGACATCACAAAATAAATAAATTAAATGTTTGAGGTCTGTTTTTCTTATTATGTTATTGTAGTTATGAATGTTAAAACAAAGAGTTTTGAAAACATAATATCTGGTTCAGGTTCACATTAGAAAATAAAACACATGTCTGTCCCTCAAAACCAAAAGTGAGTTCTAAAATAATCACAGCCATGATCTTAGGGAGAGGATGCTCCGCCCACTGCGTGTGTGTGTGTGTGTGTGTGTGTGTGTGTGTGTGTGACATTGGATCTAATTAGGAGTGTCTTTTAAACATCAGCAGTGCCCTGTGCAGAGTCACACCACAAAATCCACAAATATGAAGAAAAAGAGATAAATAAAGAAAACAAAAACAGTCACAGGAAAAGAGATTGATGGCGGCCCTTAAGGTCAACCAAAAAAACATTGAAATTAAATTTAAAAAATTGGTCAGAAAAACATTTCATGAAACTCAAAAACATTTATTGAAACACAAATACATTTCCCTAAAGGCAATTTTGTGAAATGAAACAACAGCTGTATTGAACGTTTTTGAGTTTTATGGAATGTTTTTTCCATTTTATGAAAATACGTTTTTCATTCAGTGAAATATTTTTGCAGTTGACCTTCAGGGCCACCAGAGCGACCAGATTATTATAAATTACCACGATTGGATCTATTTACAGGGTTATTTACAGAGGTCTTATGTCCAGTAAAGGAAAACATCAGCCATGTGACTTTCATAAATCATCCAAAGAGTTCTTAAACATTAAGTATGTATATATTTCAGTCAGACAACTCACATTTGCGTTTGATGTGACTAGAGATGGGACAACATCTTAAAGCTTCAGTTGGAGTCTTCATGTGGATGCTGGGGCGCTGGTGGGGCTGAGCTGTAGAGTGCAGTACTGGTGCAGGTCAGAGGAGGTAATCAAAGAGCTTTTAGGAAGGAGGGGTTGTCAGGTGATTGTGGATAATGATGCATGTCAAAGTGTGAAATCAGTGCAGCTCGAGTTAACTGTCTGAACTAGCTTGCAGGGCGCTTGCAGGATCTTATCATTCAAACATTTGGGGGATAAAGTTTGTAGAGTATCCAGAATACTTCCCTTTTATTGAGAATGTGCTCATTGTTACTGTCTCTTTAAAACAGAGCTTACATTGAATTAAGCTATCTCTCTCTCTGTAGTTGTGTTCTGCTCATTCACATCTTTTTGCTCTCTGTTAATTGTTTGGTTTTATCCCACAGTATTCGCTCCTGTTTTATAAGCCTGTTTTATCATTGTTTCTTCACTTTATTGCCAACCTCTTGGAGCTTCTCTCCTGTGCTGAAGGTGCCACAGAAATAAAGTTTTATTGTTATTTTTAAGACCTACAATAAAGAAAGGATGTTATGAAGACAAAAAAGACAGATAACACAGATAAACAAAAAGCGGATCAGCTGGTTCTAAATAAAGATGTTCATTCAGTAAATTAGGGTCCCATGTAGAGTCAATTAGAGAAGAAAAGAAGGGAGGAGTTAAGCGGGGCAACCTTGGAGCGAAAGGTCAAGATGAACTCTGACCTTACACAAAGCAACATTTCAAGTGGTTACGGACAAATTTCAGAAGTTAGAATAAAATCCTGAGGTATCAACTAGAGGTGGATGCGTTCCTGTGATCTTGGTCGTTTGGCGTCAGGCGGTCATAAAACTCAATCCGATCTGTTTTAAGGAAGTCTTTTTCTCATTTAGGCGTTTTTTTTGGTTGCACGTAATGAAATGGCTTCATTTAGTTTTCTGTTCACCAGTACAGAAAGTAAGTCTGTTGATATTGTGAATATGTTTAACGTCACATTTCATTGATATAAAATGATGACGGACTCTCTTGCCTTTGCCACTTTGTCGTTCTTTTTCACGTCATGTCCTGCCTCATGGGACTCCCCTCCATCAAACAGGGGAAAAGGGGTGCACGTGTAAATAAACACCTCAGGGAGATTTCAGGAGCTGCCTGCCAGAAATTCTAGAAATTTTCAGGAATGCATGTGAGTCCCACACAGGCTGCAGGTTTACAGTGGCGCACACACACACACACACACACACACAAACACACACAACACACAGTCTGGACATGAGCCAGTTTAATTCATTTACAGCGAAATTGGTCGCTCTCTGTGGAGCTGCTGAGTGTGCAAGGCTTCTGCTGCTGAAGACACGAGGGTGTGTGTGTGTGTGTGTGTGTGTGTGTGTGTGTGTGTGTGTGTGTGTGTGTGTGTGTGTGTAAGTGAGTGAGTGAGTGAGTGAGTGTGTGTGTGTTACACAGGTGTGTGAGTAATCCAGCAGGTAACAGTGGGTTGGCGTGCTTCCTCTGTGATTTAACACCATGTGTTCTGTAACAGATGACAGCATTAAATTATTTAAATCTAAAAGAAAGAACAAAGACTCCTGATGATCAGACATCTGCTCTCTGTCCATGATGCTGAAAAAACAACAAACTCAAACTAAACAAAAGCAAGTCTGTTGGTCCCGTTGTGTTCTGCTTAACATACAAACGTTGTCCAATATGACAGGGAGGTTTATGTCTGAGTCATTACCCTGATGACAATACCATACCTTAGCTTTAACTGAAGTATATCCTGTTTGCACTCAGGTTACAGATTTCATCAAACAGTTACTAACAAAGCTCATTTAAAAAAAAGAACAACTTGACACAATCTGGTGGTTCCAAACTGTTAACAAGCTTGTTGTATCTGATCAGACATCTGCTCTCTGTCCATGGTGCTGAAATAAACAACAAACTCAAACTAAACAAAAGCAAGTCTGTTGGTCCTGTTGTGTTCTGCTTAACATACAAACGTTGTCAATATGACAGGGAGGTTTATGTCTGAGTCATTACCCTGATGTCACAATACCATACCTTAGTTTAACTGAAGTATATCCTGTTTGCACTCAGGTTACAGATTTCATCAAACAGTTACTAACAAAGCTCATTTAAAAAAAGAACAACTTGACACAATCTGGTGGTTCCAAACTGTTAACAAGCTTGTTGTATCTGGCATCAATCAATGATCAATTCTATTAAAGGCAGGGAAAAATAGACCTTATAAGGTATGACAGAATGATGCCTGCCAGCCGGTTCTGCTCTACCTCTACCTGTGCTTCACTCTTTACACACCTGACATGTGTCCAGGGGCATTTTCAGGATTTCTAGGCCCATGAAAAGATTTCACATTGGTACCCTCCACCACAGCCGCAGTCATCCCTGAAATATATAACCATACGTCCATAACACAAATGATGAAAAGATTTAAATGAATTCATCAACACTTGGCACATCTACAAGAAAAGGTGCAATGTGAGAAGAAGAGCCCAACAGTAATCGTATTGAAACTCCTACACACCCACTCAATTGCAGAAAAACCATTGGCACTGTGGGATTTATGTGTTGGACTGTGTGAACACACGTGCAGTCCAAAAGGCATAAATCCCAGAGTGGCCATGTTGCCAATGTCTGACACATAAATCCCTAAGTTTTTGTGTAATCTAGAGAGTGCGCAAGATTCATTGCATGCAATTGTATCAATCAAAAACCATAAATTACTCTTCCTCCATTGGGGCCCTTGTTAGTCACTACTTCGCCTATGCAGGTCTCACCCTCTCCACAGTACCCCCTAAAAACACACCCTCCCAGTTTGGAGGTGATGGATAGCTGAAACAGTGAATGTGCCATAACTCCCTCTGCTGCCCTACAACAGTACTGCACTGATACTTTCACTTTAAGATTCAAGATTTGTATTTGTCACATGCTCATACAGATGTGCAGTGACTGTTCCGTAAGGCCATGCAATAAACACTCAAATTACTAAAACACATAAATACATTAATATATAAATATAATGTAAAATTAAAAAATAAATATTTGAATATACAAAATATAGAATAATGTAAACAGTGTAAAGTGTCAAAGTGCAACGTGCAGATTGGAGTGTGTGGTGTGTGTGCATCATGTAGTCTCAATTCTGTTTTTTATTCATGAGGTGTTTTTAACTGAGGAGAGTGGAGTTAACAGTCCGGACAGCCTGAGGAAAGAAGCTCTTCCTGAGTTCACCTTGATGTACAGTATTGCTTCCACCACTACACCCAGCATCCACTGCAGGCTGGAGGTTTACTCCTCAGATTTCTGCATGTGTGGTTCATTTTTATAAATAAATCAATGTTGATAGGTCTCTGGAAAAGTTTGTGTCCTCAAAATGTGCAGACTTTTAAACAGATATTCATACGCTGACCTTCCTGCTGTGTTGTCCATTAATGTGCTCATAAACACTCCTACATGTCCCAACCCCCTTCTCCTCCTCCTCCACCACTTTGTTCCTGGTAGCTGTAGAGGGTAACTCCTGCAGGGGTCGATCCTTGAGGCATCTCTGTGCCGGTCCGTGTTTGTATCATGTCAAAGAGTTCACACAGCTCTTTGTGTTTTGTGCATCTGTGGCATATTTTCCTCAACCTCTTGACTAACTCTTACTTCTCTCCTGCTCCTGTCTGTTCTGTCTGTCTTTTGTCAGTGTTTGGTTTAACATCATCTGCTTTGCATCAGTATTGTCTATTTTGTATTTTTGTATTTTATTTGTCATTTTAAACATCATTTAAATCTGTGTTGCAGTATGTTCCTGATATTAAGAGGGTGTATTAGAAAGATAAGCAGACAGGACTTCCTCTCTGCCTTTAAGAAACACAGAGACGCTTAGCGCTCCTTCAGCTCAGTTAATCATATTTTCACATTTTCTGTTACAAGATTCAAGTTTATTCATGTTGCACCCAAAACACACCCTGTATGTGCAGCCTCTTTGCACAATGTGCTTAATTTAGCATCCAGATTTTGCACATCGTTAATAGAAGAATGTAGTCTGACATGCACCAAATCACTTTGCACTCGGTCAGAACATGGCCGGAAATATTTTATTGATTTCTCATCAACAGGGTGAAGTGTTAAAGTCTAAAAGGTATCAGCTTAAAATAACTGGACTGAAAAGTGATTCCTTTTCTCCTAAATCCTTTGCTGAGTGGTGCTTTTATAATCTTGATTCTGACTCTGGATCCGGGTCTTGTATTGAGAGTGTCTCAGTGTGATCACTTTAGATCTGCTGCAGCACAAACACCTTGAAGGTGAGCAGGAGGCAGCAGCTTTATGAATATATATGAGAGTGCTCTAATGATAACGTTGCATTATTCACCAAGTCATCTCCATAAATCACTCTAATGACATCATTACACCACACACACTCTGCTAATGCACATGTCTAATCTTTGTGTGTGTGTGTGCGTGTGTGTGTGTTACACCCTCAGTATTAACCTGTGACAGTCTGCAGGTGAAACATGGTCACCCGCAGGTTCCAGGCAGCACAGGCTCATTAACACTTGACATGATGCCATTAATGCTGATTAAAATGCAGGTGACCTTTGACCTGCTCCATCAGGTTAGTATTAACCTTGGGGAGCTTTTGCTTCTACATTAGCATACTGTTTTTTTAATCTCTTAAACATTCAGCGAACTGTTAATATAAACACAAACATCAACTCAACAGACACAAACATCAGTCTGGTTCTTCACATGTAACAAACTCTGCTCAAAGCAAAAGAAGGATTTATGAAAACCTAATGAATCCATGTACATGTACCAAAGGTTTTTATGACACTAGAATGTTAAATTATGATGTGACTCTAGTAAATCAAACTGTATCAATACCTGTTTGAAACCACTGCAACAAAAGCTTTAAGTTAAAATATAACTTGAAGATCTATAAGAACCAGAGAAACACAGACACCTGAGAATGCAGACTCACATGAGTTCAGTAAAAAGCAGAGTTTTCATTAAAACAGTCCAGGTCGGTACACAGGTAGGCAAGAAGCGGTGCAAACAAATCCAAAAGGGCAGGAGAAATCACTCCAAGACTCACAGGTAGAACAGGCTGAAACAAGGGAACACACAATAAATGAATAACAACAGGGAGGACACAAGGGGATCGTATACAAAGACAATTAGGGGGTAATGAGACACAGGTGAGCACAATCAGGGTGGGGGAGCACAAGGGGGTGAAAACAGGGGAAAGGATCTGAAAGACAGTGGCCCTTTCTGAATTGTCACAGTTCAGTATGCAGTACGTACTATTCAGTATGGAGTTTCAGTATACTGAACATTTCAGTATGGATACTAACTTCCTGGTTTCATGCAGTATGGATCGGATGCGTGCTTTCAGGAAATGAATTGTGTTTTACCACCGTGCTTTCAGGAAATGAATTGTGTTTACCACCCACAATGCTGTGCGAAATTAAATGTAAATCGTCACATTGTGATATTGTTTTGTTTGACTGTGACTGACTGACTGTATATGCACATTACTCTTCTTGAATAAAGCTAAGCAAAAAAAAATGGGTGAATGTGGCCAGTTCGGGAAACGTAAATGACGTCACTTCCATACAGAATGAATCAGACGAAGTATTGAGTATGTACTTGGCAATTCGGATACAGCCCCTGGCCGTATCCAAATTGCCAAGTACATACTCAATCTTTCAGTAGGCAGTAGGCAGTATGCAGTACGTACTACCCGTGCTGCATACTGTTAGTACCTACTATTCAGTATGCACACACAGTAGGCAGATATTTGTGCCTACTTCGTCTGATTCATTCAGTATGGAAGTGACGTCATTAGCCCACCCCATGTTATTGACACTCCAACTCAGATGAGGGCACTAATGATCCCTCTGGCCAAATCATGAATGGCCCCATGGCTGACAGAATAAAAGTCAGCTGTCAACATCCGAATTCTGAGTTGCATTCACCATGTGGACACCGCAGCGTGTTGCTATGGAGTTAGTGCTAGGGAGAAGAAGGCGAGCCAGGAGAAGAGCTCGGAGAAGACACTTTTTTCTCCTCCTGGCCTTGATGGAAGAGGTGAGTTCATGTCATTTTACAGGTAGTAGTGAAAAGTCAGGTTAATCATTGACCACACGTAAACACTGGAGCAGGGTAACTTTAGCTATATAGTCAGCTGATTAAAGTTTGTTATCTTTTATTAACCATAATGCAGTTAGTTATATAGTGTTCATCTTGTACTTGACCATACATACATGTAGCTACCGAAAACATTTCCATGTAATACCACAAATGCATATTAAAACTGTGTGGCATTGGGAAAAACTGTTTCTAGTTTATTAATAGTTTGCAATTGACAAAGAATGTAAATAATGCAATGTGCAATTATTGTCTGAGTGAGTCCAGCTATGTAATGTTTCCAGTTATTTGGTTTTTGCCGTTGATATGATCTACTTGCATTAACTGAACAGCCTATTGTAAACTGAATTACTACACAGATTCTAACTCAGAATCCAGCGTTGCGCGTTGCGCCTCCTGTCAGTACTGTCAACAGGGAAGCTAATGATCCAACACAATTAACATTGTATGTAAACAAAACAAAACTGGCTGGGTGATAATAAAGACTTTTCTTCAGGAAATTGCATGAATGGAGTGTTGTTTTTAATCATTTAAAGTTTATGGTCATTGAGTATTTTCAGTGTAACCTAATTTACAATTGTCATCTACCTCCTTCTCAAGGATGACATTTAACATGTGGAGTTTGCGTTCCACTTACCTTAACCTCAATCACAAGGACAACGGATTGACCTTTGTTTAGAGATTGAATCTAATTATGCTGATTGGGTTGTTGGGCAGCAGGAATTCTGTCTGTATTAAGAACATTGGTGATTTGCTTAGCTCTACAGCAAAAGCTCAACTTTTCATGTGCTATACACGAGGTGTTACTTCCTACATGAAGATTTTGTGAGGGGAGAAAGCCAACTTTAGTTCCCAAAATTATTTAAAGGGTCCTGACATATCTCCCAAATGAAACACAGTCCAGAAACACTGTTCAATCCATTGTTTAGAAATGTCATGCTAAGAATTAATGTGTCAGATGAATTGACACATTTGCTTTCATTACTGTAAATGGACAAAGGCCCCAGCAAAGATGAACAATGAGATTCACCATGAAGTCTAATACTGGCATGTCCTACATTTGTACAATATCTTTCATTATTGGAGATGTCATTTATAATATACAATGAAGACAAATACGAATAAAAATAAAATGTACAAAATAAATTCCTCAGTTTCACTGGATGAATAAATAACACAAAGTGGCTTTAAATGAAAAAATAACAAACAAACAAACTTGCCAACATAAACATTATTTCAGAAATCTAGACAAAATATTTAAGAAGCGCTCCTCACGGGCAGCCGCTTCTCGCACAAACCGCTCATCCCTCTCCCTGCTTTCTCTGTCCCTCCTCGCCTGCTCTCTCTCCTCTCCCTCTCTAATCTCTCCTCCTTTCCCTCATCTCATTGAGCAGCCTCTCCTCTCTCTCTTCTGCTTTCCTCTCCTTTTCCTCGTCTCCTCTCCAGCTGCTCAAACAGTCTCATCCACGGTGGTGGTCTCCTGCGTCTTTTGGCAGGTGGAGAGGAGGTGGAGGAGTGGGAGAAGGAGGAAAGAGAGGAGGTGCTGGGTTTGGGAGGAGAGCCAGTGGCAGGAGAGGAGATGGAGGCTGAGGTGGAGGTAGAGGTGGAGGCTGAGATGGAGGCAGAGTCAGAGGCAGAGGTGGAGGCAGAGGTGGACAAAGAGTCAGAGGTAGAGGTGGAGGCAGAGTGGAGAAAGAGTCAGAGGCAGAGGTGGAGGCAGAGTCAGAGGCAGAGGTGGAGGAGAGTCAGAGGCAGAGGTGGAGGCAGAGGTGGACAAAGAGTCAGAGGCAGAGGTGGAGGCAGAGGTGGAGGCAGAGTCAGAGGCAGAGGTGGAGGCTGGGGTGGAGGCAGAGGTGGAGGCAGAGTCGGAGGCAGAGGTGGAGGCTGGGTGGAGGCAGAGGTGGAGGCTGAGGTGGAGGCAGAGGTGGAGGCAGAGTCAGAGGCAGAGGTGGAGGCAGAGTCAGAGGCAGAGGTGGAGGCAGAGGTGGAGAAAGAGTCAGAGGCAGAGGTGGAGGCAGAGTCGGAGGCTGAGGTGGAGGCAGAGTCAGAGTCAGAGGTGGAGGCTGAGGCAGCAACTCACTCTTCAGAGGGAAAGGACATGACAGCTGCTCCCTGGGAGGATGACAATGCCAGGGCCAGCGGGGTGATGATGTGGCCCCAAGCACCTCATCCATAAAACTGTACCACTTCCAGGAAGCAGCTGTCATCTCCCCTCCCTCTGTACTGACCCGTGTTTTAGGGGTCCTCAGCTCCTGAGGAAACATGAGAATACACAATATTTTAGTGAACAATATCCATTCAAATACACAACCACATGTTTCCATTGTAATGTTAAGCAATGAGGTATATTTTATGTTGTTCAGTTCAAATTCTATTGGCATATTGAATATTCTCAATGTTGCAGTGTGAAATGTGTCACAGGAATCCTGTGTGCCACAGTTGGCAGTGCCTCCTGGACCAGTAGCATGAATGGTCAAATAAACAGCATGTCAGTCTTGATCATGTAATGTGCAAGTTGTATGAGTTACATACTTTGTACTTCTGCTTCAAATTCTCCCACCTCTTCTTCAGGGCGAGGATGGGGACTATCCCCTCCACCCCCATCTCTTTTGCACATGCTCTAATGAGAAGTGTAGTGTAATTGTAATTGGTAAATACCAGGATACAATCACTGTTAAGCTTATCTTCGAGTTAGATCATCACACAACATAGCACTGACATCGACTTTTAAGGCAAAATGGTATAGATTGTGAGCCCATATAGCCTGTCGTAGCTCTCGACAGCACCTATCCATGAAATCTACAGATGCAAATGGTATAACTTACTTGAAACCCTTGCGGGGCAGCGTTCCACTGTCCGGTGAACAGATTGACGTTCTGGGCTCTCCACCGGATCAGCTGCCGCGTGTGGTCATCTGTCCCTGTACAGCAAAAGCACTTGTTTTCAACATCCATACAATAATCATGAGTAAATGTTTTTTAGCTTCTGATAACTCATTGCAGAGACTTTACGTGATATGCACTGTGGCTCAGTGAATAATACAAGACATCACATTGCATATAAACAATTTAACAACTTCACATTTGAAAGGCACGTTGCCTGAACCAGCTGCATCAATGGTCATTTGTTTTGCTTTGGAAGCGCACGTGAAGTGACCATAGGAAGTGACGTTTTATATTTACGTTTCTCACACAGCATTGTGGGAGTTAGTATACAATTCATTTCCTGAAAGCACGCATCCGATCCATACTGCATGAAACCCAGAAGTTAGTATCCATACTGAAATGTTCAGTATACTGCGCGGACCCAAAAAATGCATACTGAATGACCACGAAAGTTCAGTATACTAAAACTCCATACTGAATAGTACGTACTGCATACTGAACTGTGACAATTCAGAAAGGGCCCCGGTTTCCGGTCCTGGAATGCGGAAGTAAAAAACAGCCCATCTGGAGGCAATTAACATAATTAAAATAAAACAAGTCTACAATCTCTCATATATTCTGTCATTTATACACAATGCCCTGGGTTGAAATATGATTGGCATGCTATTAAAGTTGTAGTATACTTTTCAGACATGCAGGTTTAACTTTTACTCAGCTGTGAATAATATGAAGAGCAAGCCAAGGACCCTGTAACTGCAGCTGCTTGTCCAGCTGTGGCACATGCACTGTATAGTCTACAAAGCAAGGCAATCTGAGGTGGTAAGACTTATAAATATATGAACATGTCATATTTGTTATTGATTCATGCCCATAATGTCATTTTGGTCTCTGACCTGGCACTTTGCATTGTGGGGAAACAGTACACGAGGTAGACTGGTCCAATGCATACTGTAAATTTTTCCCGAATCAGTATGACATCCTGGTATTTTTGGCATACTGCGGATCTTGCATTTGTTCGCATAATGCATACTGCATACTGCATACTGCATACTGCATACTGCATAGTATGCGGTTTTG